TATCCAATGACGAACAAAAGCTTAACACGTTTTTAACGGAATCGAAGAAGATTTCCTCGGATAAAGCGTCAGCAGGAATCTTCCAGTAAAGCCAAACGGCGGCTGGTCAAGAGGAATCCGCCGTCGTCTTCTTCACGCAACACCTTCACTCGAAATGGAAGTAAGCTCAACAATTATGAGGGGATCCGCACCAACATAAAAATCACAGTCTAATAAAGCGAATGAGGAGCAACCGGAATCTATCGTCTTCATCACTTGAGGTGGGACTAATCACTTCTTCGTCTAATACAATTTCACACAAAATCATTCCTCAGAACTCTGTTTCGATTCGTCTACAGAATGCGAAATGACGAAACTTGTGAATGGCCTAAGCCAGTAACAAGTTGCTCCGTTGCATGCCGTTCTGGTCGGGGCATAAAACGTGCAGAAAGTGTACCAAACGGTGCTGTGCTTGCCATGATGCAAGGCCACTTATCATTTTAGCTACGCGGTGCTCTCAGCCGGCGTGTGAATTTGATTCAGCTGATAGGATAAGTTGGTTCATCCAACCGCCACGTTGCTGGCGGGTTCAGGTGATAAGTTGTTCTGCCGGTGGCATATTTCTTGGCCGTTGGACCGGTACTCGACTTTGCCGATCACAGCATCAAAGAGAAAGAGTGAGACAGACAATGTGCACAAGAGGCGAAGAAAGACAGAGAAACGTAAAGCAGCCACGCATGCACATGTCTGTGAGGTGTCGGCCAATGCCAACGAATCCAACCCGAGGTTTGTGGAATTGAAAATTAGCATTTTTTTTTCCGAATACAGTTTTATTATGGCATTTGAATACGAAACTCCGACTGACTGACTGGCTGGCCGGTCTAGCATGTTCACTAAACTCCACTCTGACCAGGCAACTTGTTTCAGGCTGCCAACTCCATTTGTTGTCATGCACTCAGACCATTTGCCGGTGAAGCTTGGTACCACTTACTGACCCCAGCTTGGCCTTCTCATTCCAACCAAATATACTCATTTTCTCAAAAATCCTTCTTGAAGCTCACTGAGTAACTCTTACAGGCGATCCCATTTGTAATGAAAGAGTTTACAGACAATGACTTAGGATAAGCCTCATAGTATGGTTCAGATCTACAGTCAAGCTAGAGGACGCCATTTACTGGGATGCAACTTTGTCATATTTAATACTCAGTTAAGCTAATGGACGAGGGAAATTTCTGTGAAAACCTGAAACTGACAAGCTTGGCTGAACTAAGGGCATTTATGAGATAGAAAACCCAAATAAGGTACATAAAAACTGGTTTTCAAATAATATCTTGATAGACTGACATCGGAATACTTGGCATTTCATTCGAAGTGGCGAGTGGAAGGGATTCGTAAGTCGGCCTCAAGGAAAGCCAAAGGACTGCCCCGAAACAGGGAATTATCGGGCTCGAGGGATTATTTGCATAATTCTACAATCACAGCTCCTTTCGCTTCAGAAAAGGCCAAATTTTTGAATCCTTTACATTCACCTCTTTAGACGAAATCAAATGCACGGGGCAGCATGGGCTTTAAACAAAAGTTGTATATTCCAAAATGTCAGTCTTCTCGAGGTTTCAAACAATCTTTTTAGAAGAGAACGAATGCCGGCTGAGGAGTAGGGGGTGTCCAGCCTTGACAACTGAGGGCACAAATCTTGTTCATTTGAACAGAAGTCAAGTAGTCTAGGCTCAAAATGTATAAAATTATATTTCAAATAAGTGTATGAAAAGACCATGCTAATGTTCGAGTTGTGTCAAGGACATCTTGTGCTGCAAAATGCATGTACCGTTTATATGAGGTTAATTCACCCCATTTTCATTAATATGATAAGCGGAGTTATAA